TCTTCAGAGCTAAAAAATTGGTCCTTGAAACATATATTTTCTTAGGAATCCTCAATTATAGCTCCGAAGAACCCTTACAAATATTTTCCATGATTATAGCGCATATGGACCTCTAAAAAATATCCTTAAAAATCGACAATGCATAAATGACTTGAATTTTTAAAATTAGTTTTGGAAGGACTATCAAAGCCATAAAACTTGGGTCTTTCTGAAAAATATTTTTCAGGGACCATCGAAGTCATGATACTTAGATTTTTTTGAATAAATTTTCAAGCTTGCTCAAAGAAGCAGAAGTTAGTTTAAAAAAAATGTTCAAGGACCAACAGAGACTTCCAAATGGTCCTTGACATAAAGGTTTCTTAAAATTCACAACCATAGCCAAATTTATAACATTTCATGACTGTAGCCCAGATGGACCTTCAGGAAATATCCTTAAAAATCCACCGTTCATAAATTACGTGAATTTTTAAATTTGTTTTTCAAGGACCATCAGAGCCAAAAAACGGGATATGGCCACAAAAATTGGATTTTTTTCAAATGTTTATTAAAAATCATTAGAGTTAAAAAGTGGTCCTTGAAATATATATGTATATTGTTAGAAGTCCTCAATTATAGCTCCGATGACCCCTTACAAATAAACTTAAAATTCCATGATTATAACGCAGATGGACCTTTAAAAATATCCTTACATTTCATAAATTCCTTACCATTCATAAATAACGCGCATTTTTAAAACTTGTCTTCCAAGGACCTTCAGAGCCACAAAACTTGTATTTAAAAATATAAATATATTTTTCAAGGACCACCGGAGCCATGCAACTTGAATTTTTTTGTAGATTATTTTTTAACGATACTCAAAGCAACAAAAGTTAGGTTTTAAAAAATATATTTTTTTTAGGACCAATAGATCTGCAAAATGGTTCTAGAAATAAATATTGCTTAAAATCCACAATTATAGATCTGAATGCCCCTTAAAAATACAGGGCGTATTTGTTGAATGGAATATTGCGATATGTTCAGCTCACGAGCCATTTTTCGGCCACAGCATCGAGGGTTTCGATCAAGTCGCTTCTTTACTTTTCTTTCTCGAATTTTGCATGAAGAAATCACATTTAAAACTTTGAGGGTCTTCCTTTTTTAGATCTGTACTAGGACTTCTGAGGGTCTTTAAAAAACTCGTCTCCAAATTCAAGTTTTTAGATCGAAGAGGCCTTGAAAGACTACTCTTTAAATTGAGACATATCTATCTCCAATGGAGCTTCAAAAATTATTCGTTAAAGTTCCGCAATTGAAGTTGCGATTGTCCTCAAATATTTTTACAAAATGCTCTTATTTCCTACAATTTATCATTGTTCTTGAAAGGTCCGTAATTGCAGTTCTGATTGACATAGAGAACAATCTGATCGTCTTTAACAAAATTACGTTTCAATTCACATTTGTATCTTATTTTGTCCTTGAAGAAATATTCTTTAAGAACAACACGATTGTTCATCTAATGGTCGTGAAAAAAACTATCCTTCAAACTCCATAATTATAGGTCGAAAGCCTTTTACAGAAGAAATCCTCAGTTCCTGCAGATCGGATTTTTTTTTAATAATTACTGGCTTTTGTAGAAATATTAAAAAAGTACTCGGTCATGGGTTGTTTTTTCTATAGGAAAATTTTTCGGTGAAAGGATACACTTTTTTTTAAAGAAAAGACATCCTTAGTTCCCAAGACAATTGAATTATCTCCACATAAGAAGTAATTAATTTTTATAAAAAATTGTTTTTTTATTCGAGTTTAAATATTAAACTCACAATTCTCATTATGGTATGAACTATTTAACTAATCCTCTTAGTGAGAGATACCAGTGTGTTCCTTGATCCATTCCAAGTAGCTGGTGACACGGGTGAAGGCAGCTGGGTAGCCCTTTTCGCAACCGGCAGCCGAACCGAAGGAAGTCAAACCAATTTGGACGCTGTTGGATTTCAAGACCAATGGGCCGCCAGAGTCACCGTTGCAGGTCGACACACCATCGGGAGTAGAGACGCAGATGTTGGAGGCAGTGACGGTGGTACCGAAGGTGGCCTTGCAAACGGTGTTGGTGATGACCTTCATTTCGGCGTATTGCAAGTGAGTGGCGACACCCGAGGCAGAGTCGGAGGTACGGCCCCAACCGGAAGCGATGACGGTATCACCGGCATAGGTGGAGTAAGAGCTGGCAATGGCGGGCAATTTAACGGCCTTGATCTTGCTGGTGTAGGTGACGGAGGGGATCTTGATCAAAGAGATGTCGTTCTTCAAGGTCTTGCTGTTCCAGTCGGCGTGGATGATGATATCGTCCTTGGTGACCTTGTGGGTGACTTCGGCGGAGGTGCGAACGGTGGCACCCAAGTAGACGGTGATGGAGGAGATACTATAGGGCAAAAAAGAAAGAAATTAATTAAAAAACCTCGAAAAAGTTAATGTTTTAAATTACTTACCCATCTGTACAGTGAGCAGCAGTCAAAACCCATTGGGAACCAATCAAGGAACCACCGCACCAGGCCGAAGATAAGGCGTTAACCTTCAAGGAAAGACCAACTTGGTAGGGGAATTGGCCAACGGCGGCATCATGACCATTGGTAATACGGCCCTCGGTATCAACCAAGATGTCACGGGGTTCAATAGCGGCCCCAGAGACGGTGGCCAAAGCCAAAGCGAAAACAATTAAGAATTTCATATTTTTCGAACAGCGAAATACGAACTGATTTTCGGCCATATTCTGGGGTGGGTTTTATACTAAAAAAATTACCACATATTGGCCACTTGAAAAAAAACTTGCTACTTTTTTTTGGGTGATAAGATATGATTTTAGGCCGAATGGCGCGGGTAATAGTTCAATTTGTTTTTATTCATTTCCTTTTTTCAATGAAGATCCTATCTTTAATTATCACTGGGCATTGTTGTAAAACTTTCCAATTGATTTGGTTTTAACTGGAATTTTTAGAATTATCTTGTCTTAACTTTTCCTAAACCATCAAAAAACGCGTGGCCTGTTGTAATTGGCAAATTATCTGCAAATATTGCTTTTTTCTTTAAATAATAGAACGTAGAAGGTAGCGGATTATTATGCAAGTTTTATTTCAAGATTATTTGCAATGTGACAAAAACATAGAATTTTGACCACTACTTGGAATTTGAAATATCCGCAGATAATTCTGAAAAAAAAATTCCTTAAACACCGCCCAAAAAATAGCCAAAAAGAAGGACCTGAAATGGCTAAAAAATCGTTGATTTTTTTAAGAATTTGTAAAGACTTGAAATGGATCAATAAACGTGGATTTTTTTAAAGACCTGAAATGGGTCAATAATCCTGACCTGAAATGGCTAAATATTTTAAAGAATTTTTAAAGACCTAAAATGGGTCAATAAACGTGGATTTTTTAAAGAATTTTCAAGGCCTGAAATTGGTAAATAAACGTGGATTTTTTAAAGAATTTTTAAAGACCTGAATAAACGCGGATTTTTTAAAGAAATTTTAAAGACCTGAATAAACGCGGATTTTTTAAAGAATTTTAAAGACCTGAATAAACGCGGATTTTTTAAAGAATTTTTAAAAACCTGAATAAACGCGGATTTTTTAAATAATTTTAAAGACCTGAATAAACGCGGATTTTTTAAAGAATTTTTAAAGACCTGAATAAACGCGGATTTTTTAAAGAATTTTTAAAGACCTGAATAAAAGCGGATTTTTTAAGAATTTTTAAAGACCTGAATAAACGCGGATTTTTTAAAGAATTTTTTAAAGACCTGAATAAACGCGGATTTTTTAAAGAATTTTTAAAGACCTGAATAAAAGCGGATTTTTTTAAGAATTTTTAAAGACCTGAATAAACGCGGGTTTTTTAAAGAATTTTTAAAGACCTGAATAAAAGCGGATTTTTTAAGAATTTTTAAAGACCTGAATAAACGCGGACTTTTTAAAGAATTTTTAAAGGCCTGAAATGGGTCAATAAACGTGGATTTTTTAAAGAATTTCCCAGACCCAAAAATCTACAATAATTGGTCTTGGACTCCTTAAAAAAATATTTTAATCCACCCACAACTATTAATCTGTTGGTCCTCGGAAAAAGTATAAAAAAATTCCCACGAGTATTGCCCTGGAAGTGCTGCAACAAAGTCAAAAGCCATAATTTTTATTTTTTTTTTTGAATGAAAGCAAAATATGTCGGAGATAGCATCAAACTTTAGAGTGAATAAGTTCAGATTTGTTCGAATTGGTCAACTTTGGCACGAATTATAGCCTTCAAACGGCCAATGAATGAAATCGTCACACGCTGCCCGAATGTTGTTCTGCGGTATTTTGGCCCATTCCCAGCGAAGCGCTTGCTTGAGGTGATCGACACTTCGGCTGTTATGGCGGCCCACACCATCACCATGGCCTTGATGGCGTTTGAGTTATGGTGGCTAACCGAAGGTGCACATTTTCAGCTGACCTCTTTGGCAAGTAAACAGGATCATTTTGTTTGTTTACAAACTGCTGGACAGCGAATGTTTTCTTATCGGAGACGGAGAAAGGCAAATTCGGCAGTTCACCACTTTTGGCCAAGCGAAGCAACTCTTTAGTTTTTTGGGTCTATTTTCTTTCAGTTGCGGTGTAAGTTCTTGCACTTTTTGGAATTTCAATTTAAAAAATTCCTGGAATATTGTTCTGCTTCAAGGTACGATATTTTATAATTAATAAAAAATTACGTCAAAAAAGCGTGGGTTGAGCTGATTACGCTAATCTCTAAAAGGTACTTCAAAAAACCCCATCCGCTTAGATATCACTGGGAAACATTAAATATGTTTTAGCTGGTCATCATCTCTTTTGTAGCCACTATCAAATCACTTGTGTTCAATTCTATGTGACGACAACTATGATAGGATCTCCTAGGCAATCTAAAGTCAATGGGTATATCTTATCAAAAAAAAAAAAAAAATTGTCACACCTCCACGGGATGTTGACTATAAATATAGCCCACCCAGGCCAGGTCAACCATCAGTTGTTTCCTCGTTTTGGCAACATGAAATTCTTGATTGTTTTCGCTTTGGCCTTGGCCACCGCCTCCGCTGGCGTCATTGAACCCCGCGACATCTTGGTCGATACCGAGGGCCGTATTACCAATGGTCGTGATGCCGCCGTTGGCCAATTCCCCTATCAAGTTGGTCTTTCCTTGAAAGTTAGCTCCACCTCTTCCTCCTGGTGCGGTGGTTCCTTGATTGGCAACCGTTGGGTTTTGACTGCTGCTCACTGTACCGATGGGTAAACAGTTTAAAGATATCCCCTTAAGATGGTATTGATTTCCTTCCTCCTTGTTTATAGTATCTCCTCCATCACCGTCTACTTGGGTGCCACCGTCCGCACCTCTCCCGAAGTCACCCACACCGTTAGCAAGAGCGATGTCATCATCCACGCCGGCTGGAACAGCAAGACCTTGAAGAACGACATCTCCTTGATCAAGATCCCCTCCGTCACCTACACCAGCAAGATCAAGGCCGTTAAATTGCCCGCCATTGCCAGCTCTTACTCCACCTATGCCGGTGATACCGCCGTCGCTTCCGGTTGGGGCCGTACCTCTGACTCCTCCTCTGCCGTTGCCAGCCACTTGAAATACGCCGACATGAAGGTCATCACCAACACCGTTTGCAAGGCCACCTTCGGCACCACCATCACTGACTCGAACATTTGCGTTTCCACTCCCAACGGTGTATCCACCTGTAACGGTGACTCTGGTGGCCCATTGGTCTTGAAATCCAACAGTGTCCAAATCGGTTTGACTTCTTTCGGTTCGGCTGCCGGTTGCGAAAAGGGCTACCCAGCTGCCTTCACCCGTGTCACCAGCTACTTGAGCTGGATCAAGACCCACACTGGTATCTCCTATTAAGTGCGCTACTTCGTGGTAATGAAATTGTAGGAATTTTTTTACGTTTCATGTTGAAACTTAAATAAAGTGTTAATATTTCATTCAAAACGATTTTGGAATTATTTGCCGAGTATGTGCTTTGGGAAGAAGGAAGTTGGTGATGCGAATTTTTTGAAAATATTTTTCGAGAGAATTTTTTAAAGGATTGTCTGAGGTATCGTTTTTTTTTTTAATTTCTTGAAAGCAGCTATAAGCTTCGGCCTTTTCAGTTGTGTTTTCCTTCATTTTCATTTCGGAGGAGTACCAGAGCAAATTTCAATTTTTTTACCCTCAACCATATGGCTAGAGAGGGTATATATAATTTGACCAAAATGTGCCTCATCCAAATAACGATTTCAGACCCTAGGTCTCTTTTGACCAAATCCCTTTCAGGATATTTGGAGTCGATCTAGCGATGTCCGTCCGTGTGTCTGTTTGGCTGGCTGGTTGACGTGCACGATAACTATCGAAGGGATTATCCGATTTGGTCCAAACTTGGTACATCGTAATATTATTATCAAACTTAGATCGAGTTCGGAGATGGACAATATCGATCCACTCCTTCTGGTACCAACACCATAAAAGGTCGAAAAATTACTGCACAGAAAGAGAAAGGATAATCCCATTTTGCTCCAGCTTTGCAACTCCTAATATTTGCATTAGTGCTAGGTCAGGTGCGAAAATGGACAATGTCGGTCCACTCCATCAAGTACCTCTCTTACAAAGTGTCGACATTTTGAATAACCAAAACTTTCATAAAATCCGAAATAAGCATCTGGTTCTCTTCATAGTTCACACATCCCATTGTTTCTACTAACTCAAGTTCTGATATGAAGATGGGATGTATCGATCCATTCCCTGTGGTAGCTCCCCCACAAAGGGTCAAAATTTTGAATAGCCATGAAGTTCATAATACGAAAAAATTAACATCCGATTCCATTTGGAGATCGGAACATTCCTTCTGGTACATCCCCACTCAAACGATCAAAATTTTTAATATCAGTGGGGCTCATAAATAGCGAAATTTTTAAATATTTGGAAAAGGGCCTTCCTAGCTATAGTCGTAGATTTTCTCTTGGATATTTTAGATTTAAATGGGCCATCCGAGCTATAATCGTGAGGTTTTGATATTTTTTAAAAACAATTTGAGTTTTTTGAGTTTCTAAGAATAATTTTTGAAGGACAAAACGAGAATTTTTTAATGGGTTCTCAGCGTTACACTTTTGGAAAATATCGAGAAATTCACTTGGTTCTGGCCCAAACTTTTATCGCGATTTTTTTAAAAATTTTTCCTTAGGAATTTGCTGAGCTAAAATCCTATTTTTATCCATTCATTTGAAAAATTAACGATACTTTCTTTTGTTAACTTCCTCTCTTTTGCCCTCATCAACATTTGAGATTATGTTTCATTCAACCATAACCACAACTTCTAACCCCACCTGGCTATATGAGAGGATACCACTTTTGGGGAAGCCTGTTTGTGAAACAAATACCTAAATATATGTTACCACATCACATTGTTGGTAAATAAGTACCGGTTTGTTTAATGGGCTATAATTTGACCAAGTTTTGTTGTGCTTCTTCCTTTTCTTCCGCCCATGTGGCTTGTGCTTGGCCACCACGGTTGAAAGGTAACAGGTGTACAACACATTGAATATGTGGCATCTTGTGTTCCACAACAATGACCGGATCAAATATCAACCAAAATGTAGGCCTTTTCTACAAACGGTTTGAAAAAGGGTGTTGTGGCGAAGGGATGGTGGGAATTCACGCGGAAATGGAAATGTTTTGGATGTTTTCTTGCGAGTAAAGAGGACTCCATTGCCATATGGTTTGAGAAGACTTTCTAGTTTTCTCGCTGTGTAAGACCTCTTGAGAAGCTTTCGTAAAGGGTCCTCTAACTTAAGAAGTCCTCTTTCTAAAGAATTCCTCTTGAAGGGACTCCTGTTTATAAAAAAATCACTTAAGAAGCCTACTGTCTACAGACGACCTCTTGAGAACCCTCGTATATTTTAAAGGTCTCTTGAGAGACCTAGTATATAAAGAAGACATCTTAGAGGATGTCCGTCAAGATAAATTTAAATTTAATTAGCAAAGACACAAACCAAGGTGATTTTTTCTCCGGTTCACAAAGGGTTAATAAAGAGAGAGAGAGAGAGAGAGAGAGAGAGAGAGAGAAAGAGAGAGAGGGAGTAGTAAACCAGAGAAAAATTAAAGGTAAATTAAATTATATTAGTTTTCATCAAATTTCATAATTTTCCGTACAAATTTCAAATTTAAAATGAAATCGCTAAATAAAACCTAATTAAAATTTACGTTGAAAAACTTTGAAACCCTTAACTCTACATTTAAACCGAGAATAAAATATTTAAAAATGAAGCGGTGTCGTGGCTGGGCACAAATGAAAGATCTCAAGGAGTACTTTCCGAATCTGTGGACCTTATAGTCAAAAATAATTTCAGACTTAGGATTTTTTTGCATTTTCTGAAGAATTATCGCTCAATTTTATGGAACTTGCAGATAAAAGCATCCACAGAACAGAAACTAAAAATGAAGCGGTGTCGAGGCTGGGCACAAATGAAAGGTCTCGAGGAGTACTTTCCGAATCTGTGGACCTTATAGTCGAAAAGAATTTCAGACTTAGGAGTTTTTTGCATTTTCTGAAGAATTATCGCTCAATTTTATGGAAATTGCAGATAAAAGCATCCACAGAACAGAAACTAAAAATGAAGCGGTGTCGAGGCTGGGCACAAATGAAAGGTCTCGAGGAGTACTTTCCGAATCTGTGGACCTTATAGTCAAAAAGAATTTCAGACTTAGGAATTTTTTGCATTTTCTGAAGAATTATCGCTCAATTTTATGGAAATTGCAGATAAAAGCATCCACAGAACAGAAACTAAAAATGAAGCGGTGTCGAGGCTGGGCACAAATGAAAGGTCTCGAGGAGTACTTTCCGAATCTGTGGACCTTATAGTCGAAAAGAATTTCAGACTTAGGAGTTTTTTGCATTTTCTGAAGAATTATCGCTCAATTTTATGGAAATTGCAGATAAAAGCATCCACAGAACAGAAACTAAAAATGAAGCGGTGTCGAGGCTGGGCACAAATGAAAGGTCTCGAGGAGTACTTTCCGAATCTGTGGACCTTATAGTCGAAAAGAATTTCAGACTTAGGAGTTTTTTGCATTTTCTGAAGAATTATCGCTCAATTTTATGGAAATTGCAGATAAAAGCATCCACAGAACAGAAACTAAAAATGAAGCGGTGTCGAGGCTGGGCACAAATGAAAGGTCTCGAGGAGTACTTTCCGAATCTGTGGACCTTATAGTCAAAAAGAATTTCAGACTTAGGAATTTTTTGCATTTTCTGAAGAATTATCGCTCAATTTTATGGAAATTGCAGATAAAAGCATCCACAGAACAGAAACTAAAAATGAAGCGGTGTCGAGGCTGGGCACAAATGAAAGGTCTCGAGGAGTACTTTCCGAATCTGTGGACCTTATAGTCGAAAAGAATTTCAGACTTAGGAGTTTTTTTGCATTTTCTGTAGAATTATCGCTCAATTTTATGGAAATTGCAGATAAAAGCATCCACAGAACAGAAACTAAAAATGAAGCGGTGTCGAGGCTGGGCACAAATGAAAGGTCTCGAGGAGTACTTTCCGAATCTGTGGACCTTATAGTCAAAAAGAATTTCAGACTTAGGAATTTTTTGCATTTTCTGAAGAATTATCGCTCAATTTTATGGAAATTGCAGATAAAAGCATCCACAGAACAGAAACTAAAAATGAAGCGGTATCGAGGCTGGGCACAAATGAAAGGTCTCGAGGAGTTCTTTCCGAATCTGTGGACCTTATAGTCGAAAAGAATTTCAGACTTAGGAGTTTTTTGCATTTTCTGAAGAATTATCGCTCAATTTTATGGAAATTGCAGATAAAAGCATCCACAGAACAGAAACTAAAAATGAAGCGGTATCGAGGCTGGGCACAAATGAAAGGTCTCGAGGAGTTCTTTCCGAATCTGTGGACCTTATAGTCGAAAAGAATTTCAGACTTAGGAGTTTTTTGCATTTTCTGAAGAATTATCGCTCAATTTTATGGAAATTGCAGATAAAAGCATCCACAGAACAGAAACTAAAAATGAAGCGGTATCGAGGCTGGGCACAAATTTAGAAATTAATTAAAAATGTGTTGCAATTATTTTTGTATTTTCTGTATTTATAATTTGAATTCAACAATTTTTTGTCAGTGCATGTATATTACCTTCGGTTCAATTTTAACTCCAATCAATGCTCTTACTATTTTTCGAAGTTCGAATTGAATTTGTTAGATTTGATTTTAGCTTTATATTTGCTCTCACTGAGGAAAGCTCTAAAAGCTTTTACAAAAAACCGAAAAATTTAACAAATGTTCTTCATGTATAGCAGAGTCGTGGAGAGGGAGAGAGAGAGTGAGAAAGAGAAGCACGATCCTGCGTAAAGTGTTTGTGAGAAGACAAAGAACTAAGTGCGCGCTCCCAAAATGCGAACGTTACTATTTCTTTTTTTTTAGGAATTTTTTTTTGTTTTAAGAAAATGCTCCGCCAGAAGAGTGCAATCCGGTGTTGGAAAACATATATTTTTGTACACATGGGCCATTATTTCGTTTATGCTTATTCTGCACTAAGTTAATTTTACACCAACAAGTAGTAGGTTGTAGGAAAAACGTGAAAACACTTTTTTTTATTTCAAATGTTTAATTTTTATTTTCAAATTCATACTTTGATACAACAATTACTTTTTTATTTTTGCAAATTAACGTATTAAAAAATAAATAAATTAGATAAAAGAGTTTAAAATACAAAAAAAAAAACCAAAAAAATAATAATAAGTAAATCAATCCAATTGACATATATATATATAAATATATATATATATATATATATATATATATATATATATATATATATATATATATATATATATATATATATATTTCCAACACCGGATTGCACTCTTCTGGCGGAGCATTTTCTTAAAACAAAAAAAAATTCCTAAAAAAAAAGAAATAGTAACGTTCGCATTTTGGGAGCGCGCACTTAGTTCTTTGTCTTCTCACAAACACTTTACGCAGGATCGTGCTTCTCTTTCTCACTCTCTCTCTCCCTCTCCACGACTCTGCTATACATGAAGAACATTTGTTAAATTTTTCGGTTTTTTGTAAAAGCTTTTAGAGCTTTCCTCAGTGAGAGCAAATATAAAGCTAAAATCAAATCTAACAAATTCAATTCGAACTTCGAAAAATAGTAAGAGCATTGATTGGAGTTAAAATTGAACCGAAGGTAATATACATGCACTGACAAAAAATTGTTGAATTCAAATTATAA